TGGCCCAAATAATAAAAACAATAAATGCTTAGAAAAGCAAAGTATAAACCATATTTTTGACCCAACAAAGATAAAGTAACGTTGCAGAAATAAGATATTTCTTATCTACTAATTTACCTATTACACCAGTAACATAACCCCACACACGTTTTCCATTCAACAAATTCTTCATAACATAACTCTGGTATGCATAATTCATTCAATCAAGTTGGGTACTAATATAATGAAGAGAGTCATTGATCTTTTTGAAACATATTGCAAATAATCAAAACAAAGCGAGATAATCTAATACATGCATCAAATAGGAATGAAAAGAACAATACGATTGATAGTAGAGAAAATAAAATATCAATGAAAAAAACATACACAAAAAATACTAGCAGAAATCAAACATAATTAATGAACACTACCACAATATTTTTTTGTAGGATCAAACATAGTTCAGTCCACAAAATTGGTACATGCCAAAAAGTCTTCTTCAATCATCAAATCAAGAAGTGTGGATCAAATAGATATCTGATACCATGACTATTGATAACAATATATAGATAACGTACTTACGGTTGTACTATTAAAAAAAATGAATAACAAAAAAGGGAAATAAGATAATGAATAGGAAATGAATATAGAGTTTTCCTATATATAGTGCTAAATTAAAGCTCAATACAAAACGATCCCAATATAAATCATAACTTATTATGCTAACAACAAATAATCTAAGGAAAAACTATGATATTGTTGGTAGATATGTGGTGTAGTGTGCAAAGATCTACTTCCTTGGTGAATATCTTCCCTATTGGTGAATATATGTTCTCTTAGTGAGGATCTTATCCCTTATGGAAAGATCTTCCACTCGACGAAGATTGTTCTTTCCCCTTAACGAAGAGTTTCTCCCATTGTAAAGTTCTACTCACTTAGTGAAGATATGCTCCCTTGGCGTAGATCTTCCCATGTGGAAAATATTTTCTCCTTTCGACAAGATCTTTTATACACCAATTTTGGAAAATGGTTATAATTTTTAAACCACCGCAAATAACTTCGAAACTAGATTTTTCGTTATCCTTGCCTAGTTTATGGATTTTGTGAGTATAAATTAACAATAAATATACTTCAATATTTGAGATTAACTAATTTGACACAACTTTTCATATAAATATGGTTAATTCTTTTCTTCTTTTGGCTAAGAACAGAAGTATCTTAAGAAAATATTTTTCACAGAAGATATTGTCTTGTGTGAAGAGTTATCAAGGACAATAAATACAAGACATTGTCTTGTGTGAAGAGTTATCAAGGACAATAAATATAAGATTTGATCACTCTCAGATTCATCACGATTTGATCTAAAACAACCATATTCTCAAAGTTTTCCAACACATATTAAATGCATTTTTATTAATATTAATTCCTACCACTTATTTATTTCAAAAATAAATTTGCATAATATTGCATCTTTTCCTATGAATTATAACGAATTCGAAATGAATATTATATATTGAATAAAATGTGCTTATGTGTATCCAATACATCTAGATGTTAATTTGACAATATTTCGTTTAATTTTATATTTTTGTTTTTCCTCGTTACAATTACTATCCTCCTTGAATTTCACTAGATCGACTTTAACAATATGATGGTCGGATGTGCCTTTTGAGGATACAACTGAGTAAGATCCTGGCACAAAATCGAATGGTAATCCCTTTGATGCTAAAATGTAATCCACACGTGTACCATACTTGCATGTTCCTTGTACACCTATATACACAAATAACAAAAATAGCAAATGTTTATTTAGATTAAAAGACCACTTGACAATATAAGTTGTAATGTTTTTGATGTGCATGCAATAGATGCTAATGAGACCATATTTGTAATTGTTTTCTCCTTCAATAAAAAAGATAGAACATGATCTCGATCTATCATCTATGCAAGGGATATGTATTCCCTATCATCCACATTCTCAAAAATATTCCTAGAAATCTTTTCTAGTCTTGCTAGTCATGTCATGTACTATAGATTGGCATCCTATGCAATAAACACAATATTAACATACTAACAATGAAGTTAAAGGTTGTAACTCGTACTTTGGCCTTTGCTCATAATCACAACCGGCTCACAATCACCCGCAAAATGTTTCGCATCAATGTAATCTTTCTCATTTAAAAACCTCATCACATCTGTTCTTGGCGTCGGTTTCCCCAACTCTTCGTAATACTATAATAAAAATATAGTTTGTGCATCATGTTATGCTCTAAGCTAAATAACTTTCAAATCAACTCAAAATGAGATTAAATGCATAATAAATCTCAAAATGTATGTTCATACTTTTTAGAGTATTCAATGGATCCAAAAATCCAATTTAAACTTATCCAAATTTTCATGAGATCCTTATATCTAAATTTTTTCATACCAATTTTGAGAGATTTTCAAAAAAAAAATTATTTTTGGATTTATGAAAATCGTGTA